TTCCGGCCGATAAAAAGGAAGCACATAAAGTCTGGGTGAAGTCAGAGCGGTTTTGGCTCTCTCCATCTGGCGCTTTATATAAGAAGTCTTTCACCGGTCCTTATCTCAAGTGTGTACACCCAAACTGCGTTGAAGCTTTCCTGTACGAAATTCACGAAGGCATATGCGACAGTCACATAGGGGGCAGATCTTTGGCATGTCGTGCTATCTCGCAGGGATATTGGTGGCCGTGTATGCAAGCGGACGCTCAGAAATATGTTCGCAAATGTGAAAAGTGCCAGAAGTTCGCCCACCAAATTCACCAACCGGCCAGAGAACTCATTCCCCTCACAAGCCCTTGGCCTTTTGCGATGTGGGGACTAGACATAGTGGGACCACTCCCAACGGCACCGGGCAACCGGAAGTTCTTCATTGCCGCTACGGACTACTTCACCAAGTGGGTTAAAGCTGAGCCATTAGTAACTATCAAGGAGAAGGACGTCAAATGGTTTGTCTGGCAGAATGTGGTAACGTGGTTTGGCGTCCCCAAGATTCTGATCTCTGATAATGGCACCCAATTTGACGGCCACTTATTCAGAGGATTTTGTGAAGAATTAAATATTGAATTCTACAACTCCATCCCGGCTTACCCGCAGTCCAACGGCCAAGCCGAAGCATCAAATAAGACCATTCTTGACGGATTAAAAGAAAAACTTGAAAAGGCCAAAGGAAAATGGGCCGAGGAACTCCCAAGTGCCCTTTCGGCATACCGGATGACCTCGAGGCGATCTACCGGGGAAACTCCTTTTGCCCTGGAGTACAGCATGAAGGCTGTCATCCCATTGGAAATTGGCATGCTCACCATCCGCAGTGAAAATTTTGAGCCCGAGCTGAATTCTGAAGCAGTCGCCCTGGAATTGGACCTTGCTGAAGAGTGCGCGAAAAAGCTTTGATTCACGTGGCTGCATACCAACAAGAATTATCCAGGAAGTACAAAAAAACCGTGCACCCCAGACCGTTCAAAGTTGGTGATTGGGTTTTAAGAAAGGTCATAAGCAACACCCTGGTGCTAGGCGAAGGCAAGCCAGGGGCAAACTGGGAAAGACCCTACAGGATAACCGATTTGGCGGGCAAGGGGGCATACCACTTGGAAGATTTGGACGGCAAATGCATACCCCGGCAATGGAATGCAGTCAACCTCAAACTGTACTATTTTTAGTTTTCATAGTTTTTATGATTATTCTTTTGAGCAAAGACTTGTTTGCCTTGCATTTCAGAATGTAATACTCTTTTTTTCAATATAATAGAAATGACTTACCTTTGTTGAAGCATTCTGTTGTTTTTTATGCTTATTTTGTGATTGAAACCGAGATGCTTTACTCCGGTTGGTTGAGTTGATGATTTACTCAACCTTTAGACTGCAACCGAGATGTTTTACTCCGGTCGATTGAGTTGATGACTTGCTCAACTTTGATATTAAAACCAAGATGTTTCACTCCGGTTGAATGAGTTGATGATTTACTCAACTTTGTGATTTAAACCGAGATGTCTTATTCTGGTTAAACAAGTTGATGATTTACTTCAACTTTGAGATTTCAACCGAGATGTTTTATTCCGATTGAATTAGTTGATGATTTATTCAACTTTGTGATTCAAACCGAGATGTCTTGTTCCGGTTATACAAGTTGATAATTTACTCAACTTTGAGTTTTCAACCGAGATGTTTTACTCTGGTTGAATGAGTTGATGATTTACTCAACTCTGTGATCAAAACTGAGATGTCTTTTTCTGGTTAAGCATGTTAATGATTTAGTCAACTATGTGATTTCAACCGAGATGTTTTACTCCTGGTTGAATAGGTTGATAATTTGTTCACAGGCGAGTTAATGATTTGCTTAGCCGATGTGGTTTGCTCAGCTAAAGTTGTTTAGCTTAAACACAATACACACACTTAACGAAAATACAACTTTTCATTGATAAGTAATAGCATTACAAAAGGTGGGGCAGTAGCCCGGTTACATTTTCAAATAAAAAAAAGAACAACAAAGAGGATTCGAAGAACTTACCAGTTTGGAGGCAGAGGCTACTTCTTCAAGCACGAACGAGGAAGAAGAACAATAATGGAGGTCAAGCGCTGTAGCTCAAAGACGTCAGGAACGGAAGAGAGGTAATAAGAAAAGAAAGTGAAGGGGAAATGGCGTACTTATAAGAGTGAAAGGGCACCTAAATTTGAATATGAAAGGACGTCTGGGTTGGTTGCCCGAGGCCAATAAATGCACGGCGCGTGTTCATAATGGCGGCGGCGTCAGTTCTGAAGAGACAAGATGGCAGGTTGAGGCGACGACCGAGCAAGCCCAGAAACCGGGCATGGAGATTAGCGTGGTTAACATCTTGCAAAATAGGGACCGAGGGAGAGTCTACCCCGGACAGACCATGTAATCCCAGTCACGCTTGCGCGGATGGAATTAAGGGGCAATTGAGAGGGAGATTTATGAGCTGGAATGGGCCATAGTAAAGGTCGGGCAAAATGAGGGGCCGAATATGTTTGGGCCGTGATAGTTTGGGCTTGTCCAGATAAGGTTTTGCTCGGTTGAGGCCCAGGACCATGTTGGGACCGAGCTACTTGGGCTTGTCTGTGTAGAAAATCGAGCTACTTGAGTTGCTCGGCCGAGATAATTGCCTGCCAGTCTGAACTCCACGGTTCACGCATTTAGCGCGGCAGGAAGGCCTTCGGTTTACTGGCTAGACCTATCTTGAACTCGGCTTTGCCGAAATGTAACCGAGCTCGGTTGTTCTGGAGCTCGGCGAGTGGAGCACTCAGGTACGCTGCGCAGCGCGGTCGTGAAAGGCCGAGGTGGTTCCGTCGGTCTGCCGGGCTCCGCCAATATAGCCTGACGGTTTGGTTAGGTGGTGATTGCAGGATTTGTGCTGACAGATGAGAGCAGCACCACGTGTCAAGAGACTAATGGGAGCAGATTTAGGCGCAGAAAGTATATAAGCGTATCTGCGCCCCCCATGCTGGGGATGGAACATAATTTGGTGAGGTAAATCTATACATTCAAGTCTCTCATCTCTCTCTCTCTCTCTATCTTTGAGTGTGTGCTAACTTGACCGTTGGAGGGATTTTCCGGTCACACACCGCCGGGTAGCTCACCGCCGTTGTGTTCGCAGGTCGATCGGACGGACAAGGAGCTTGGTAGAAAGGAGTACGGGCTCTGCGAAATATTTGCTCCCCATACAGATAGTTAGAGAGAGATTTGTAAAATATAGGTTGTATAAAGATTGTTGTTAAATTCCAAACCAACATATCACCATCATACTAATTCTAGTCAGAACTGAAAACAACAAGAAGAACATAAAAATACAGATATGGAAATATGGACCTCATCTTCTATTTGAGACTGAGCTCTTGGGTGTTCAACCTATACTCTTGGAATTGGAAATGGAATTGGAATTGGAGGTATAGAGTGGATCAGAGATAGGAATTGAGAAAGAGAACATGATGGAAATGGAATTGAAGGTATAGAGTGGATCAGAGATGAGAATTGAGAAAGAGAACATCATGGAAATGAATTCAGGGGATGACCTGTGGGTTAACCTAAGGGATGACCTGGGGTCAACCTGTGGGTCGATCTAGGGGATGACCTCTATATTGAGGTAGATGAAAAAATAACAATTTGTGTACATATACACAAATGAATCCTCTATAGAGATCATAAAGTGCCCGTAGATGATCAATTGCGCATGGAGATTCGGCATCGAGACTCACCCATGGCTTTCCTTTACAACACCAATTCACCCATGGCTTCCTTTTTCCACTCCATCGCAAAAGATAACCGGACTCGGATGCAAATTCCTGGAACTAAACACCACATTGTGCCCACCAAGCCCTTGTTGGTTCTATCTATGATCAATACTCAACATCTCCACCAAACACTAGCGAAAATGGCAGCAATGAACCCAATTCATATATCTTCATCTTTTTGTGTCTCCATCCATTTCTCTACCCTGAACCTATAATTCCGTTCTCTCCACCTCGGCAAATCCATCACCGTCACACCCATGTTAAAATAACAATCTTTTCTTTTTAAACACCATTAACAACTTTGAATCGATACAGAACTTTTTTATATTACATTTTGATAGAAATTTAAATCTATATCAATCTTGAATTTATTGTTAGTGTCACAAAAATAACCTAATTGTGACGCAGTTCATAGGCCAACCAAACACTGATGCACTGCACAACAGCTTCGCATTTTTCTGTAAGCAAGGAACGACCGGTGAAACATTCGGCCGATTGTCTGGTGAAACCTACCTCCAACATAAACACATAATATTTTGGTGAAATCTACTCAGCTCTTCAGTTTGATGAAATTTTTGAATGATATTATTTTGATGTCATTTTGATAAAATCTTCAGTCAAAAAAATTATTTTTTTTCTTCAAATTCAAATTTAATGATAATTTTACTTATCCGTTGAGGATGGCCTAGGTTAACCAATATCGAACCTGTTCAGCACTTTGTCTTTTCCAAAACAAGATAATTCAAATTTAATGATAATTGTACTTTACCGTTGAGGATGGTCTAGGTAAACCAATATCGAACCTGTTCAGCACTTTTCCAAAACAAGATAAACATGTGCCTGTTCGAGGGAAGGCAAGCCATCCACGTTATAAATGAAGACCCAAAATCACTTTACCACCATAGTTTTCTGAATGACTTACAAATTGCACATACTTGCTTTAAAATGGAAACTTGAATCACAACATTAACGAAACTTAAGCCTCGTTTAGGGATAATTTTTTTTTAATAATTTCTTAATTTTTTTAATTAAAATATAATGTAAAAAAATTAATATATTTGAGATAATTTTTCAATTTTTTTTTTAAAAAATATACAAAAAATAAAGAGAAACTTTTTTATTTTTTTTTATATAAATTGTGAACTTATTATTTTTTTTAATGACTTTTTAAGAGTTAAAAAATAATATTACCAACCAAGGGATAAGCACAAGAAGATTAACTAAAAATAACGACATTATTATTATTGCTGCAACAAAACAAACGAAGGACACAAAGGATAAAGTAGTCCCTCAAATCAGGGTAGCATACTAATTTTTTATTTATTTTTTTCTTTTAAATTTTTTTGTTATGAATAGAGAAATATTAGAGGAGAATAATTCTTTTAAGGATCCACCGAGAGCACAGCCCCGTTCTTCGTTGATATCTTCCCAACCATCTCATAATGCTCCAAATCTTCTTCACCGGCGATGGATGATGGATCCTTCAGTTTCAATTAATCTTCATTTTTAGTGTCGTCTGATTTTGTTCTTCAAGAGCATCTCACGCAATTCAGCAACATCGATTTCATTAGCTTTATTCTCGGGTCTGTAGTACCCAGTCACTGGATCAGGCACCCAAGAAGTCTTTGTTGCCTCTTCTTCCCCACCTTTCTTCCCCATCACGCCGCCTCTTGCGGTCACGGGTCCTGACGCAACTCCTTGTGATGCTGCCGCGTATCCCCGCCTTTACAACCATACATACATGAAAATGTTCAATTTTAATATGAAAAAATAAAAATAAAAAATCTAAAGTTTGTTAACGTGCGCCGAAAGTGAACTTGGTGGTGGACCAGACAAATAATGAAATTCTAATCTGTTACGACTCTAATTAAGGAACATTTTGTCAAAATTTGATTGAATAACCATTTTTTTAGATTCAAATATTTTCTCTGTTTTCTCCGAGGCGAAAACAGAGCATGAAGATAAAATAAAATAAATAAATAAATAAAAAAGGCAAAATCGGTGTAAATATGAAGATTGACGAATATGAACTACCTGGTAACAGCAAGGGAGATTCTATCGACGACGAAAGCAGAGAGAAGCTTAGCGTTAGAGAAAGAGCGAGCCATTTTTTGTATATAATGGTAGAGATTGAACACGCTACTGCGAAAAGTTTTATGAGTTTTTTCTTTCAGATTCTTCTAAGGAGAAAACCTTTCACAGCAGCTAACGATCAATCTCTTCGAAATGAGCCCTCTCTTTCTGTGTGCGCGCCTCTCTCCGAAGGGGTAGTGAATATGGGTTATTATGAGGAAGAAGAAGAGGGTAAATGAGGGGGTTTATATAGAAGAAAGAGTGAGAAATGATATGGGTATTTGAGGTTTGGAACGCGTGATGAAAGGTTGGCTAGACATAGACGGTTGCCGGTAGGGTTAAGTGGGAACGCGTCAACAAAATACGCTTCCAATCAGAAGCAAAGCTCCGCCGATTTCGCTTTCGTTTGGAGGTAGGTTCGCTTTTTTATTTTTTATTTTTTTTATTTTTTTTGATTATTTTAATTTGGAATTAAAAAATTTTGTTTGAGATAAATTTTTTAGTTTTTTTTACTTTTGTAAGAAAAAAAATAAAATAATTATGATTTGGATGTGATATTTTATTTTATTGGGTTAAAAAGTTTATTTTATCTTTTGTGACTATTTTAGCCCAAACTCTATATGCCAAACAAAGCCTTCGTTTGGAATGTGAGTTGTCTTTTTGATTTTTTAATTGTCTGGAGTTAAAAAGTCTCCTTTGAAATAGATTTTTTATTTTTTTTTATTTTTGTGAAAAAAAATAATTATAATTTAAATGTAATATTTTACTTTATTAATTTAAAAAATATATCTTATCTTTTTATAACTAAAATAGTCAAAATACCTAACATGCCAAATGAAGACTTACCGGTCGCAATGAGTGAAAAGTTAAGAAAACAAAATTTTACATTTAAACTATAATTATTTTATTTTTTAAAACAATTATGAAAAAATAAAAAATAAAAAAAAATTAAACGATTTTTTTTTTAAACTGATTAGAATAGTAAAAAAAAATCAAACTAAAAAATTTTCCCAAACGAAACCTGAAACAAAACTTTATTTAAAATATTGTCATTTATCATATTCATACTGTCATTATCAGGAATTTGGAGATGCTGCAGCAGCATCGGCTGTGCAGCAAAATGGGTCTATTTCGGGACCTATTTTGATAATCTAAATCGTTCATATTTTAGAATATATCAAGTAGAACATGTCTGTAAAAAATCAAGTTAATCGGATATCATTTACCCATTCATCCACTCATATTTTTAATACTTTAAATCACAATTACTATTAATTTTTGTAGATACAAATGTGAATCATGAATCAGCAAACGATATCCGATTTATTTGATTTTTTGTAAGCATATTCTACTTGATATATTCTAAAATATAAACGGTTTTGATTAACAAAATTGGCTCCAAAATGGGCCTATTTTGCCACACAGCAAATGCTGCTGCCCGATTATCAGCCCTTTTTTCAAACAGTTGAAGCTAATTACGTTGTATTCTACTCATAATTCTGTCTCTTCTGTCGAGGGCTAGTGCATTTTTCTCTTGTCTCTCATAGTGGATCCTTTCTTTTAAATTAGGTTAAATCTGACCGGCACTAATTATTTCGGAGTTAGGATCCACGAATACTATGATATTCAATAGAATGTCTTTTTTTCTTGTTCAAAAAAGAAAAAGGACAAAAAAAAGTTACAAATAGTTCCAAAATTTTAAAATATCCCTATTAAATTCATTTATATTAATGTTGCAGTGGATTATTTTGACAACAATTTAAAATAATTAAAAATAATAATTAATCTTTGCACGTCTATCTGTAAAAAAATTAATTAACAGTTAATATGTAACTTTTTTGTTGATTGGCAAATTTAAATATGGTGTTTTACAAATCTTAAGCATTTTCTAATTTATATTATAAATTATTGTGTAGTATTTTTAGAGCAAATCAATGTAATGCTTTAATTTGATAATTATTTATTTATATAATAGTGTCCACCATTTTTGTTTGGTGTTTTTAAAAGACAATTCATAAAATGCTAATTGCAAAGTGAACGTAAAGAGGTGCACATGGGACACTATATAAAGTTATAGGCTTATTTTTAGTCACATTATCCTTTTATTTTTTTATATATTTTTTTAAAAAAAATTAACTTTTAACTTAATTTTTAAAATAGGTCAATTGGAATAAAAAAGTGTTTTGATGTGGATAAATAAAAAAGAGAAAGGGCTAAAAATGTCACATTATCATGTTTGCAAAAAATTAATATTATTATAGTTCTCGATTTAAATTTTAAATTTTAGTTATATAAATAATATATAATTCAAATTTATTTTAAGATTGAGTTTCATTATACAATAGACATATTATTTTTTTTAAATAAATTTTAAAATTGAACCATGACCAGCACTTTTATCGATCAAAATTCACTCTCCCACCTCATTACAGTATAAAATAAGTAAATATTAATAAATGTCTCAAAAGTATTGTTTAGTGGATCTCTAATAACAAATGCTATAATAATATTGTCATTGCCAAATAATGGCAATGCAGAGTAGTATTTGGCTCAAATTATAATAATGGTGTTTTAATGGAAGGTTGTCATTTTTGTCATTTTGACATAGAAACTGATGTGGATATTCCATACACACCAATTTTCAGTTTTCATTCTGTAAAAATGGCAGATATAAGGTAGGGAGGGATGTTTTGTTGGAAGGGAGGGAGGAAAGTTTTTATTGTGAGTTGATAGTTATGGCAGCTGCTAAAACTTTATGTCAAATTTGATACAAGTTTTGACGTTTATCAAATTTGGCAGCTGTCATAACTTGCCATTGGAACAAATTTTTTGTCAACTACTGCCAAATTATAACAATAACAATTCCAATGACTTGTCATTAAAGATAGTATTGAAATTGAAATTTTTATTTCTTATACCAAAAATAATTGTTATTAATACTATTTTCGTTTCAAAATAATACTGTAATCTTTTTTGGATAATTCAATTTTTTTTGATAGTACAATTATTGTACTTTAAAAATATTAATTTTTTAAAATTACTCTTTAAAAGTACATTTGTTTTTAGAATATTAATTATTATAATTATACTTTTTGTGTTGTTAATGAATTTAAAATAAGAATAAAATAAAAAATTCGTATTATTTTAATTTTTAACTTTTTAAAATAAAATAATATTTTGAAGTAATAAAAAATTAATATTTTAGGATAAGAGGAGTGGCATTAACCATGTCCTAAATTCCAAAAAAGTTTTACACGTGACTTTGATTACTCGAGCAACGTTTTTTCAAAGCTAATATCAATGGGATCCCAACAATTGACGGACGAGATGAAATAAATAAAATAAAAAAAAAGGGATGATTATTGATTGATCTAGAAAACTTTTCTTCAACCAATCAAACATCATTCATTATCAAACGTCTGAAAAATTGGTGAAGAATTTTCTAAGAGGCCGCCGTCACCGCTTGAATTGGCCGACATCGTTTCAAAAGTGTGAGAAAATATCAAGACGTTGTATTGGGCGTTGCAAGGTGACATCGTCACCATCCGCGTGTCGAGAATCCAATAGAGGGATCGAGGCGGCGGAAAGGTTTTTAGGTTCTCGAACTTCGAGACATATATCAGAATCTCATGAGAAGTGACCAACCTAGTCAAAGGTCAATACAACTCAGATGCCTATCATCTCATCTCTATCTTCTCGAAGACAGAGAAAGACACAATTTAAGTGGCACCGCCTTCGCTAACGTGCACAGACTGTCGTGTTTCGTTTTTCATCAATCAAACAGCTGTCAGTGCGAGGCCACCTCCCAAGCAATCTCGGCCTCTGCTTTCTCAAATGACTGATACGAGAATTGTTTATTTTAATTGATTTTTTTGATATTTTTATTTTAAAAAATATGTAAAAAAATAATAAAGAATGATAGTATCAAAATAATAAAGAATGATATGATATGGCAATTTATATTTATTTTTAAATAGGGTCTAAATATTTTATAATGAGTAATGTTATATAAATAAAAAAATTATACATACTAATGTTTATTATGGACCTTTTTATTTCAAAGTAAAATATCTTAAAATGAATTTATTTACAATAATATATCATTGTTAAATCATTATTGTGAATTTTTTTATATAAATTTTATGTATGGATAAAAAAAAACGCATATATTTTTGTGATAAATATTATCTAATTTTTATGTTGGCAATTTCACAATAATTTGTGATTTAAAAATTAAATTTTACATATTTTTAGTATAATATATATATATATATATTATGATTAAAAATATTTGATAAAAAAATATAAAAATATTTTTTCATAAATCTTTTTTCACCTACTTATATTCCATTTAATTCACATTATTTTCTTATGTTTTAATAAGTTCCATGGGTGACATAGTTACCAAAATATCTCTAATAATATTCATATTTATATTGTAAATGTTCCGTGATGTGAATGTTCATACCATCAATGTGAATATTAACATGTCAATGTGAATATTCACATTGTAAAATATGAATGTTCAAATCACTAAATTGCTAACTGTTCAAAAAAATATTTGTAAGGGTAGAAATGTCCATAAAATATCTTAAATATGAGAATTAAGATTTGGTAGATCAAATGTCTAAATAATAAGACTTATTAGTATATAAAAGTATCTTATAGACTAATTGAGATATAAACATTTGAAAATAGATTTTCTAATAATTTTTTCAAAAATATATAATATTATTATAAAAATATGTAATATTATCACAACTTAACTTTATTTTTCAATCATAAATAATGGTGATTTTATCATAAACATATATATCACATGAATGTGAGATTACATGTGGCCCATATAATGTGAATGTTTGAAAAGTTGTTATTTTAGTAGATTATTTTAATAGGTTAAAATTTGTGTATTTGAGAAAATAATTGAATTTTTTTATAGTTGAATGTAATATTTATGAGAGAAAAAAGTGAAATAATTATAGGTTTGATGTGATATTTTTATCTTATTAGCTATTTTAACCTATTTTATCTTTTATAAATTTTAACCTTAAAAAAACTAAAAACTTTCTTGCCAAACACACTCATGTGAATTGCACTTATGTATGATATTTAGGGCAAGTTTGGCAAGTTGAAAAAAAGTCAAAAAGTTAAAAAAATTACTTAAAATGTTAAAAAATTATCACTATTCACTAAAAGTCAAAAATTATGGCTGTACAACCCTCAATCCTAATTTATACATTTTTT